CGTCTCATACAAATAGGGCTTCTGCGAGGAGCTAGAAAAACATAAAACGAAAACTCTTATCGACACATAAGAGTCTTTAAATGAATTAGTTCTTTATCTGATGCAGTCGGATTTTGGGTAAGCGGTATACCCGACAGCAAATAGTTATCAAAATTACTTAGCAATCATGAACTACTTTTGTATTCAGCATTACAATTTAGAACATGCAAACGATTTTGAAAATGAAAACTGCAAAGAAGTAAATAGCTAAAAAACAGTTGATGTTGAATTTGATAATTCTATTATCTCTGTTGTCCATTCTTGAGAATAAATAATACAATAAAATGAACTTTTTAATTAACTGACAAGGAATGCTACGGCAGATACATTCCGATTTAAAAAATGCTTGCTTTATAAACTTGATATCCTTGTCGATAAAAATCCGAATTTGATAAAAAGCATTTTTGCATCTCCTTTTAGTTACAAGTTCATTTTGCATGTTCACATTTAAAAGTTCAATACATTTCTTTAAAAGCCCGTGTTTCTTGTTCTGACGTTCTTAGTCTGAGCCTAAAGTTATTGATATACTAAAATTTATAGTGCGGGTCTTGGAAACTAATCTCAAAATTATGAAAGGTTTCTCTACAAACATTTACTGAAGCTATTCGCATTTCCTAACCTATTTGTACACATTCTTCACCTCAGCAGTGGATGCTTTGTCAGGTAAATATCGTGCGTTAAAATACTTACAGCGGCTAGCGGAGAAATGTGCAACATGTTGGATATTTTCTGACACAAAAATCAAAAAAAGCAGAACCTTGTTTTCGGACACGGTGGAAACTTATTAGACACAGGACAACATTGGAAATAGGGATTAGTGTCTCTTGCCTGATGGTGGAAAGGGTAATAATAAATAATGTGTACAAACAGAGGTAATGCCGTCTTATTACTTTATCAACACAACAATCAAAACCATCAATAGAATTCAAACAGCTAGACTGTTAGCACATTACTTATATAAGGATTGCAGCATAAAACTCAGAACATTCGTAATCTTTACTCTATTTCAATAGTAATCCAACGTTTGACTTAGGGTCTTAAAATCCGTCAGCATTACTAATTTTCCTGTATCTCGATGAGCCCTATCCATAATGGATGTTTGTTATTAACATTTTTCACTAAAATATTTATTTGCAAAATGTTGCTTAGAGTTTGATGATGTTCACTAGTGAAAGAGCTCATTCCAATAACTCATCATAGAGACAGACAAAAACATTGCCTGGAAGGCATCACAGAGATGTGTCCTATATTTTACAGCTCATTAATTTATTTAAAATTTAATGCTGGCTATTAATACGCTTAATTTTTTTCTGGTTCTTAGAAGCTAGGAATACATACTATGATAAAACTACACCACTTATCCCCCTTTTTTAGAAATACCATAATCCATTCATTTTGTGGTAGATCTGAACTTGTTAAAAAACTGCGCCACTTCATTGCCTTCTGTAGCGAAAATTTCGTCTTTTCTTCTAGCCTCCATAGATTCAGATTTTAATGGCAGGTGTTTTCTGCAATTATAGCCAACCATTGTAGACGTAGGATTTGGGTGAAACATTGGCATAAAAGACCATGTTCTTTGCCGTTGATGCAGTGCAATATACTCTAGAAGACGTCATGAGGAGTGAAGTACAATGTAATTGAAGCATTAACGACTTGAGACAGACTGAAGGGCTTACCTTATACGGTACATAATTATAACAACCTTTTTGTTACTTCATTATGTTCGAGGATCCATTCCAAATTTAACGGAACCAATTCATCTTAAAAATTTCTCCGTCACATTGTAGAAGTCTTGCAAGTAAACCATATTTAAAAATCCATTTTAAAAGAATGTAAGATAACTAGATACAGATTTCGATGCCAGAGGATTGAAATTAAGCTTGAGTTTGATCTACAAAGGCCAGACGGTGATATGCTACAAGCACACATTACACCAACTTCTCTCTGTTCAGATAATTTGCATAAAAGCAAAGCCTATCCAAGCGATTTAAAGCGTATGAAATTGCTCCCCAATGCTGCCACCTTGGCGCATTCCTCTTTTTCACTTCTTTGTTATTTAAATGCGGCTTAAAAAGGTTATTTGTTATCCTTTCCAATATGTAAAATTTCAGTTTTTGAATCTTGTCAAGTGTTCATGGTGAAAACCTTTAAGGCAAATTTTGGCCCTTGAACAAATCTGAATCATTCAACTTTGGTGCAAGCACTGAGAGATTAGAGCAGTTCCATTACCATTGCTGTCATGAATTTTCCCATGTTCAGCAATCTACGACAGTCACGTAGTAGCTGATCTACCTGCTTGTAATCAAGTCTTAAAAAATAAAATTCTCCCGAAAGTTTATGAGAAGTAAGCAATTGTAAGTATGTTTTACCTTCAAATTGCCAATGTGGTGATTGATTTTCCTTAGTAGACAGTAGCATTAGGGTAGAGAAGGTTTTAAAGGCTCAAAGCATGGATAAAAGTGTATAAAACCTAAACGAGAAAGACCGAGAAGTCCACGTAATACTGCACCTAATATACGTTAATAATAATAAATTTAATAGTTCAATATCGTACTTACAAAACATTGTTGTTTATGAGCAAGTAACTTATATAACCTAAACAATAGAAGTTTTACTGCTCCAATATGCATCGGCTCTACTTTTAAATTGAAGTACGCTTAGGGGTGTAATTGTTTCAAACTCGGCCAATCGGTTTGCGGCGTGATTCGGCGCAGCCGGCGATCATTAATTTAAAACATCTCACGACCCATACTAAGCTCAGGTAGGAAAATTACACATGTAATGCTAGCAGCAAACTCACCCGAATATGAAGGTAATGTTACCCATTGTCTGAGTGTGCAAGTATAAGAACACCACAAATGTCTTTTGGTTTCTAAATGGATGCATTCAGCAGGAGTTCATGGTTTAAATACAGGCTTTCTGTTACATAATAGAAATAGAAAGGGGGAATTGTTCTCGCCTTCAATTAGTGTAAAATTATCCTGTCACTGTAAGTCGTTTTGATAGCATGAAGACGGATTTCCTTAGGATGTAAGGCATTTTTGCCTTATGCCTTCATTCCTTCATTTTATTGATCAAATGTAAATTTTGCTTAAAAAATTGGGAGGACTATACCAATTGTTAGCAAAAGCGAGAATTCTACATACAATTATCAGTTTTTGGCAAATAAATAGTCTTTCAGCATTTCAAACATGGAGGAATTTGATGGAGAATCAGCTTATCGCAACTAGAGTGTCTAGAAGGCTGTTATAGTTACCGCTTTCGCACGAATTCGTGGGGTTTGTTAGTGTAACTATTCTTGCCCAACGTAAAATTGCTCATTCGCAGAATTTTGGGTGAAAGCAATTAATTAATCCAAAAAATAAGTACCAGCAAAAAACGCATGTGTAGTGTTTGATGAATTCTCTAATTTTCATTGTGCGTTCCGTATATGCGGTGAATGAAAATCTTAATACACATTAATTAACCACTTGGTGCTAGATGTTAGCAGCCATGAATGCAGACTTTAGCTGAGGCAGTAGTGTAGTTTTAACCTAAGAAGCTGTAAACATTACGGGTTGTATTTCCATTTTTTTAACCAAATACTCAATTCGTTCCCCCAAAGTTGTGTTTCTTTTATTTGTTTGGTTTAACTCGAAGCCGGATGCAATTAATGGTAGTGAAGAGTGGAGATGCATTAATCCACTTCTAAGGCACCAAAATCATAGAAGTGATAAAATGGGGTAGAAAAAGTGCCGGTGGTTTTATTTTTGTTTTTCATATACCTTAAACAAATTTAGGAGCTCCATACTTCAATGCTATTCTATCTATAATAATTGTGGGAACCTACGTAAATTAAGAAATCTTTAAAAGAATACATCTTGCAGTATCTTTCCCGAAGGCGAGAGAACACATAATACTCGATCAGAATATGCGTATTCGATGTACAGTCGGGGTGGTGTTACCGACATGGCCCGGAGCCAGCCTACCCGGCGAAGGTACAAAGGCAGAGACCCAAAGTGACTCCTTTACCGAAATTAGATTAACGCAATCAACGTATTATACTAACTTTGCGAGTTGACGACTTAATTAAAATATCAACATCAAAACTTGCAATTTGTAGGCCAGTGCATGAAGTTCATTTCTGGACGTCAATGATCGATCATATCCAAAAACAACTTTCTTTGAAGAATGGGAATGTTTCACCCAATGCTGTTAAGATGCATCAAAAAGTGTCAAAGAGTGGTACTTGTTGATGGTTAGGGCAATATGAACAGTGACATCCACCGTTTGTTGTCATCATATGTCATGATATTCTTTACACGAATTCAAAACGGCCTCAGTTTAATGGACTAATTTCAAGACCTATCGCCATCACCACCCATGAACGTATAAATGCTGCTGACCGACTTTTACCGATTGCATTTTAGTAAAAAATCATGTCCAGCCCACCCACTGAGCGCAATTTCACCAATTACAAATACCTTTTGGGAGAGACTAGTAATTCTTCGGTTTGCTACCTTCTCATCGGCTTATTTAAGAGTAGGGACACTGAAGTGACACGCTAAAACGGTTCAGCTGATCTAGGCTGCGACGCCCTTTTACTTTTTATCAAAGCCACCTGACAAGACGTTGGGACACCCACGCCCAAAAACCTCATTGTTACTTCCAAACGTTAAATGGGAAGAAACACCACTGACTAATTCAGATGCATGGTGTCGACAGTAATGAAGACGAAGCAACCGGTTTTCATTTACACACTAATCCCCACCCGTCCTAATGGTAATCAGAAAAGCCAAACGATGATTTCATATTTCAAGCCAATCATATCAGCTCAGTAGACGATTTTATTGATGGTATTTCCAGTACCCAAAAGACAGAGGAAGAGAGTGGGTGAAAGAGAACACAATTCACAGGATAATTTGCAAACAGTAAAATAGTGGATCGAGAGACTTGGTGAGTGAGGAAGCGGATGAGGGATGTCAGAGGAATTTTCGATGCAGAACGGCAGGACCCTCGCTTTCGTACTCATGCTTGGAGACCCACATGTTCTTGAACGTGGCCAGCGAGGCGAGAATAGAGCCGCCGATCCACGTGGAGTAGAGACGTTCGTTGGGAGCAGAGATACGCAACTTTGCGTCCTTCGGGGCCATGCGTTTCATCTCTAGCAGTAGACGGGCACCGAAACCTGGGAGGAGAAAAAACGAGAGAATGGAGGGCTGATATGGTAGAGTATCATGCATGTTCTACTCGGCCGTACCTGCCCATTTGCCATGCTCTCATAAACGAACGAAAAAAACAAATTCACCAAATTACTCGATCAAACTAGGACTACTGCATTTACTGAAAAGAAAGGTAAACCACACATGGGAAAAATTGTTCCGGGTGTTGATGTCATGCAAAATAGTTATTCAAAATACCCTTGCGTATGCTCAATATTTCATCACAATGGTCCCATTTGCAACATTGCTCATGATGTTTTACTTTCAAAAGGGAACAAACGAATGGCGTATCTCATACTGGTGAAGAGATCTGCCGATTTTCAATAAATTTTACTCAAACTAATAAAGTAAAGGTAATTTTGTCAGTGGCGGGAGGGCTAAACAGCCGTTCAGAATGGAAGACGGATGCAAAGCCAGCTTAGGTAAAATTTGCGAGTGAAATTTCAAAGATATTCATTTCAATTAATTCAGTTGTGTGGGGATTTATCTGATATTTCCTTTTGAAATCTACCTTTAAAAATGCTCAGATGAAGTGAGCTTACTTTCTGTGGTGCAGAAAAATAACAATTAATGGCATAAAATCGATTGGCAGGTTTGTTACTTCTGCTTTCATCTGATGTTTTCAATGCTCAGCAAACAAAGTAATGAGTCATAACTAGTCATAAACATTCCCGATTGTTTCGATTGAATTAACCAGCCACCAATTTAGCAGCTCCAAGGTGACTCATTCTGAGAATCTTTCAAAAAACGCCATTGGTTCATTAAATTTCTTTCATTCAAAGTCGAATTTGTATCAATAAATACGCGTGGAAGGCATAAAAACCATATCAATATCGAAAAAGCCGATCGAAACTTATCAATTCTTTAAGAAGCTTTGACTTCAAAACCGGCACTACAATTAACGGTAACCTATCGGGTTTCATCTGCAAAGCAACAATAACGAAAGGCCATTAGGAGCCGGAAGTGCTCTTCAATATAACAGATTTTTCCGCCATTTAGGCGAAGCATACGAGTATTCACCTGCCTTACTAAAAAACGAAGGAGCGTTTGAACTTAGTATAGGAGTAATCTATGAACTAGCGTTTATTTTGAGCAAAATATGAAAATTGCCACTGCAAAACTTAATTACTTGTATAAAAAGATTAAAATTGACAGTCAATTTGATTAGCCTCTGTAACATGAGTAAGCACAGGAAATTGATGAATGATGGTTGCAAATTTTTTTGAACAAGTTTAAAATGATGCCTTTTTAAGAGACACTGACATCTATACTATACTAAAGTCAGAAACAATATGATTTGGTTTCGCGTAAAGATGCACCCTTTATGTAAATCATACCTTTTAATAATGTCGAGCCACCTGATAGGACGATGTTTTCATACAACATTCGACGTAGATCCATATCTGACTTCTGAATGGAATATGCCAGCACCTAGTAGAAAGAGTAGTAAGAAAACGGAAAAGTGATACATCAGGCTCCTACAGAGGTGTTAAGTTGTCAGGAACGTGATAAAATAAATACAATTATTTGAATGTTGGGTATACAAAAACGCTGGTACAAGAATACTAGCCAAAATACAATTCGTTAGTATTTTCTTTTGGAAAAAAAATGGAATCAAACCTATATTGAATTCTTATAAATTAAAGCCAATGTAATTTAATGAGAAATGACGAAGAAAAAATTGCTCGAAATATGGTGCTCAGCTGTCGGAGAATGCACACTTCCAAACACAGCAGTAACATAAAAACGGGGAGGCAATAACAATCATAATCGTCTCCTAAAACCAAACTTAAGATTAGTTTTGATACTCAAATCAATACAATTGGGAGATACGAAACAGCTCAAAAACACTAAATTAGTAGACAAGATACACTTCTGTGTGAGAAAAAATGGCCAAATAATATTACCCGATGCTGCATGAAGACTGCTGACACCAAGGTTATGGGAAGAGACTTTTATATATCACGCAAAATCTATTTGTGAGTACTATTTTTTTAGTGACAAACAAAATTTTCACTCACAACATCGACAGACGTTACTGTTTCTATGACTAGTCCCATGAATGACTGGACAATGGTGAGATCCCTTTAGCTCTATAAGGAAACCCACATGACTCACAAATTTTCGCAATTTATGCAATGGTAGCAATGGCAAGTGCATTGAATCTGCCCTCATAATAGCACAGGCAATTGGATGAATGAGTAGTCGGTTTCACTAAATGAACGGAGTACCCGACGATTAAGACGGTCAAGCACGGGCCGAGATGGATGCTGTGAGATGAGGTAGAATCGTAGCTTATCTAACACATATTAGTACGCAGAGCTTGCAAGCCACCAACAAGCAGAGAATGCATAATTTTAGCAGGCTCCAACAGGTGTACGATAGCACAACTGCGAGCAGGCACGAGTGGGTGTGTACGTGTGTACCTGCGCGGATCAATGCACAGGGCCATGTGCATGCAAGCATACTCATTGTGGGAATTTTGCCATCTTCTGCTGGATCCACCCACGGCCCCCAAAAATCGATAATTCCGTTCAGGTATAGACATGGGTCCACAAATGGTGGTACATCGAATACTTCGGTAATTATTAAAGGACACGAAAGAGCAAATTTATGAACGACTGATCAAGTCCAAAACAGGGTGTGATGAAATTTCCCATATAGTATTTTACGTCTTTCAAAATCTCGTCATTGACATGAGGGTTCGCCATCGTCAGTCAATCGATGAAGACTCAAGTGAGGGACGAGTGAATGACTTATCACCACTCAGAAAAAAGGATAAAATCAAAAGAATGGTAAATCCAAACAGTTTACAATAATGGGGTTTGGAAAGGTTCCCACGACTTTTGTCGGCAGGTGCAAATTTAGACAAGAAATAGAAAGCTAGGAAATATGGAACCAAAGAAATGCATAGTATGGGACGGAATACTTGGAAGAATTCATTTAGACCATATCACCAACAAAGGGAACGAAAGTCGTTAATTATTCTGACAAAATATATTATTCTTCGAGAAAAAATGTCTGTTTATTTACAGAACAATCAAAGGTTATTTTCCTTTACAGTTATGCAAAACGGTATTTTGATATGTATCAAGGATTTTATGGTCTTTTTTGAGTAAAAATTCAGCACTAGTGTATCCTGAATAGATGTGAACAACAAAATGGAAGGTCTGCCCCAGAACGTCAACCTTCAATGCTAGGAAAAAGCAAAACAAGTATATGCAACATTCTGAAATGAGCAGGAAGACTCACGTGGGCCTGATTTATATTTTTAACACTGCTAATAGAGCACGAAGTTATAATTAGTTCATTTACCCAATGTAAACAAACATAAAAAAGAAGGTAACGTAGAAGTGCTCTGCACTGATCAAAAAGGCGCCACCACCTTTCAAGGTGGATGTATTTCAGAATTTGCTAGAGTTTTAAGACCCAAATAGTCCAGGAAGCAATAGCTAAAAAATAGTTCCAATTCCAGTGGAAAAAAACGCGCAGTTCTTGCTAGCTTTAATGGTGATGTGCATCAATAAGTGTATTCCGAGAATTCAAACTGTCAGATGAACTGTCTGGAAGAAATAATCTGAAACAAGTGAAAAAGTTTTGCGATTTATGCCTTGTAAGTAATGCGCCAAAGGAGTACGTCTATTCTCGAAACCCTGAATCTCTGAAGTGGGTTGTTGGAGAACTATTCCTATTATCTGCTTTGCAGTTACTAACATTAGTTGGTAGACGCTTTTAAAGGGGCAGTTAACAACAGTAGATTTCTTGAAATACCATCAATGATTTATCAGCTCATATATGGACAAATAAAGCCGTTAGAGAGTGATTAATCCTAATCTAAATCATCTGGCGAATTTTGCCATGAAAAGTGCTTCGTACAATTAGGCAGGGATAAAAAATTGGACTAATTGGAAACAACACTTTATATTCATCTAGCCTTCAGCTGTACCATGTAAACCAACGCATTGCATTCACGGTCATTCAGAATTAAAAAATCTGTTTGACCTTTAAAAACTCAATGATAACAGATTTCCCTAAACGAGAGTGAAAATTATTTAGGATGTGAACATAAGATGTCAAACTAGGGCCGCAGTTTAACCACCGAGATCGTCTTAAGAATTCCATAATGAAAACATTAAGTTGCGCATAGGTGACAGTAGTGGGTAAACAGGAAACAATTATAAGACATCAACGCAACAAAAATAATGACAAGTGTCGAGGAGTTTCACCTACAACCTGGCATAACTTCTAAAAATCGCCTATACAACCACTGCGACACCGGTTCACTAACACCGCTGTTCCGCATTCACTCCTCCCCCAAAGCCAGCGATAACTGAACCCATTTATGCAGACGTAAATAATACGTTGAAAAAGCATAAAATGATTTTAATTAACCAGCCGGGAAAAGAGGAGAAAACGGCCCTACTTCACGCCTAAAAGTAGTTCGCAGTTCATAAAAATGAGTAAGAATGTGATGAAAACTTGCCTGATGAACACCGAAGTACTCCTCGCCAATAAGGTCGGGTCGGAAGAGAAGTTCAGGCGCCTTGAAACGGGCAGGGCCGATTTGGAGGGCAGAGCCGTCGGGTAGGCGGTAAAACTCCTGCGCCTCCACTGCCTCCACCTTGCCGGGGCTAAGGCTGACGAAACAGGAACGCTCCTTGATCTGACGTACAATTTCGAACTCCGCTGTCGTGTGCAGATCGGTGCCTTCCTTGCGTAGCAGTAAGCGCAGGTAACGCGTCACGTCGCGGCCAGCCAAGTCGGTACGCTCAATGGAGTGCGGGAGCGCATAGCCTTCGTATATCGGTGCCGCATGCGTCACCCCATCGCCCGAGTCCAGCACCACCCCCGTCGTTCGGCCCGAAGCGTAACTTATTTAAGAGGACGGGGTCCAAAGCGAGGGGGTGATTAGGCTACTGCAGAGGCATATCTTTTTGATCTGCTGTGATACGGATATCATGCTGATAATCCACAGCTGTATTCATGCCAGTTATGTTTCCGGCTCTAAGATGCCGGCAATGAAGTTCTCCCCACACTTGGGTCCCACAACTTCTACATAAGTAACTTAGGCGCCACAAGGTAAACCTGCTCGACCGCTTCATAGAAAATAAAGCTAGGATCGTGGATAGGATATGGGTGGTTAATTAACTCAATTATCTGGTCCAAAGTTTATCAATAATTATACCGAGACCTTAATGAATAAATCAAACCGTTAGTTCTGACGAAAATGACTAGATAATTTCTGTCTGAGTGGCAGTAGCATGTGCTTCAGTTTCCATTTCCACGATGAGTATGGATTAGTAAAACAACGCTTTACGATCATGTAGCAAGTTAAGTCCTAATTCAAAGCATTCAATCCAAATATGCACTAAAGTACTAAAATAAACAACCTGATGCACGGTTAAACCAATTATAAAGCAGACCTTGATTTAAAAATCAGCCCTATTTTTTTTCGGAATGCTATGAAGTCTTGGAATCACTACACACTTTCAAATGGTTTTGACGGAAGACATAATTTCCGGCAGCCGAAGGCCGCTTATTCTGGTTTACCAACCAGAACAAATTAAAAAAAAACAAACATCTTATTAAATGCGTCGCCGGATTCTCATTCAAACCAAAAATTGTTTGTGGGTACTACAACGGCGTCAGCCAGAGAGTTCGTCTCATAAATGATACCAGTAATGGTAGCCATTTAAAAATCTCAATCACCTCCGAAAAATCCAAGAAACCACATTTTCCGTCAACATATAAAGAAAAGATCCAAGAATAGGAAATTCGCTCCCAAAAGTAAAATACATATGTCTAGGAAGAGTATCGTATCCGCGCACAACTTTCAAAGATACTGAGTCAAAAATTGAGTGCATTTTTTAGCATTCGTTACAAGATCAGTCCTTGTTAGTTATTCTACCATCAGCTGGGATCACAAGCACATACACAGAAAAAGCACCGTACAAAATGACATGAGTCACAAAACCCCACTTTAAAGGCGTACAAACTCACAGACTCAGCACAGCTTGCATGGAGACGTAAAGGGCAGGAACACCGAAGGTCTCAAAGAGCATCTCAGCCATTCTCTCACGATTGTGCTTGGGGTTGAGTGGTGCCTCGGTGAGTAGAACCGGATGTTCCTCCGAACTGACCGTCAGTTGCTCCTTGCTGTAGATGTAGTGCCAGATGTGTTCCATATCACACCAGTCGCGCACAATGCCATGCTCAATGGGGTAACGGATGTTCAATAGACCTCGGTGTTCTTGTGCTCTTGGACCAATAAAGCGATCCCCTTCGATCGCGCCTGCCATCGCTCGTACATGTTTGGGTCGTCCAATGCTATAGTTTATGATGTGGAAGGCATTAGTGTTCAACAAAAGACTGATTTACGTGATGGAGATCACTAATGAACTCACAAATTTGGGAAATAATGCCTCGGAGTCTGGTCACCCGCGAATCCTGCCTTAAGCACACCAGTGCCCTATTAGGCGGGAAAAAATTTAATCTTCGTGGCTCAACTGTTCATCGAGATGAAACGACTTGCCCAATTAATTAATTAACCGGATGATGAGATTGGGACCAACAGATAAAGTAGGATTGACAAACATATACCTTACTACTGTTGGCTTCTTAAGGTGTGGTTTAGCACTTCTTCCCATAAGTACTGAAAATAATTCGCTTGATGATATGGTCGCATTTCATTTCGCCTTCATTAAGCGGATATTTTATCAAGACAACTTTAGGTTGCATAGGAACTATTGGCCTACTAAGTCTTCAGTCGATAAAAACACATAGAGGATAAGACTACAAAGCAAACTAGCTTTGAGCAACAAATAATACGGGTCGGATGAATGGTAATTTAATAAAGCGATTGGAGCTGTTCTATGACACCATTCTTACAAGGCGACTGCCAAAATTTATTGTAAGTTGAGAGGAATTGCGTACCATATCCACAACTATGGGCTGGTTCATTATCATTGTCTCCATCTTTTGAGAAAGTAAGAATAGGCTAAATTGCCAACGTACCGGCCAGCCTACTAATCATAATTCAAATGAGGGAAGTCCAGCAGTAACATCATCTGCTAACCATTAATTGGGATGGTTCAATAAAAATGTGAGTTACGAACTATTTCATTAGGTCAGTTCGCACGCCAGTATTCCACGTAAAAAAAGGACTTAATGGTATCCATAACTATTCTGTAACTTGATAAAAATACGCTGAGTTTGTATCTAATTTCTACAGTGAATTTTGATTATCAGACGGTACTAAAGATTGTTTAGTGGTCCATTTTAAAGAATGCACATGTGCAAGTAGTCTAGCTGTGCAAATGGGTATTTGGAACACATACTTTACTTTTATTGGATTTTTCCTCTGCTGGAAATGTAGAAGTTCCCCTGCCAAGGTGGTGGGAGATTCATGGTCAATGTACAGAAAGGCTGGAAGGCTATGGGGAATAGAAGAGTCCGTTCGGCCAAACGGTGAAATAAGCTCTAAAGAATGAGTAATTGGCCTAGTGAAGTATACAGCTAAACCAAAAATCAAATCACTACAGTAGGGTGAGTCTTAGGTGGTGGCTTAAACTGCATGCATTCCGTTAAAAATGTTACAAATAGGGTGTGCACAATGGCCTTCTCTTTCACGCTTTCTTTAAGTGTTAGTTGTAAAACCAATGTAGTTACTACTTGGACGTAAATTCGACTCAATTTCTTTCGATTTATATTCCGGTGACAAATTACAGAAATTTTAGTCAAAAACCAGTTTAATTTAGTAAAATTTGGTTAAAACCGTGATTTTGCTTTCACAAATGTATACACTAGCTTTCCTGCGGCATGTAATTGTGTTCTTTTCCCATTGGAGCAGTGCGCTATTTAGCTGTATTACGTTAGCTGCTTAGCTTTCGGTTATGGAAAGGGAAATTTGTGTCTTGGGTATAATATCTTTTCCGGGTGGGATGGCCTTTGGGCCATACCAGCAGTCTTGGGTCCTTCTATGTGCTGAATATATATTCTACCCAAGTATTATGTCTCGAGGTGCTACATAATGCTTCCATTTGACCTGGGTTAAATCATTTATTTGATGATGGTGATGCTCACTTATTTTGGTAAAACCATCATATAATCAATGTGGTTTAACTGCCCATCAAAAGCGATTTTCTTTGCTAAAACATGGGTTCAAAAGTTAAGATATTGAATCGACAAGCTTAAGCTATTGCTTCAGACAATGTTTCGTATTGGCTCGGAAACGGTCGGAGCTGGGGCTGCGAGTGGCATAGTTCCATCCCAAATGCGAGATAGCCAATGTGCTGAAGATTGGCTAAGGCCATGTAACCAAATATGTAGTTTAATTAGGTCTATTTCTGTTTAAAAATTTTCGTTGCAAGTGTGATTCCTTCAGATATCTTGGTACATGGGTAGCTCCAATGTGTTTCTACCTAAATTACGATTTAAAATGAACCACCAATGCAACGTTCGCCAGGCCTTGGGCTTAAGCGGACAAAAATATTTATCAAGAAATATTTTAAGGAGGCAATACCTTAAATGCCTGTTTTATGGGATTCGATTATTCTCCGTATTTGATACCAATAGTACAAAGTAATTCTGCATATTGTTTTTGACCGTGTTTACGAGGTAAAAGTACTAGGGATTCCGAGATTATTTAAAAGCAAGCCCTGAGCTAATATGCGGTTTCGATTTTTCATTGTCAACATTCGATTTGCATTAAATCCATTGCAACTGATTCCTGCCTCTAAACACTGATTTAAAAAGCTACTTCTGTAAACAGCCAGAAGGCTCAAGGTCGACCACACAGATGATACACATTTCCGCCCTTGAAAACGAATATTACTTTCAAGTATTTCATTAATAAAAATGAAGTTTTCCCTTAACTCTAATTTCTTAACTCTATGAACTTTGGTCACCTGCTCTGGCATAAAAGTGGTGGCTGTTCCGCCATTTGATCATTGAAAGCGGTTTAATTTGAAGTTGAGAAGCTGAATGACCTCCCAAAGGGACTGCCTTTCGGTGATATTAAGGCCAAATGTAAGCATTCTACTTGGAATGTAAATTATAGTGTTGCAGAACTGTTTTTTATCAGGATATTTAAAACCTTAAATTGCAGTGAAATGATTGTCTGGATATTTACTTTTACGAATTTTGGATCTGAAGAGGGCTACGTTAAGTCACACAAAGTATCAAATTAATAAACTCATTAGTTTTATTGCTGAACTCAAGTGGATGGAAAATTTATAAATGCACAACCTGTCAGATATCACTAATTAAGATTTCCCTTTCTCCCCTCACAATCCTGTCTTCAAGGTTCTCACCCGTAGTATCAGGCAAAAACACAAGAGCAAGACACGCCAGAAGCAGCAGCCCGGCATACACCAAAAGGGGAATTCCATGTGCCACACTGGTATCTAGACTGTTTATAAAGGCTCCCAAGGCTGCCCCGAATCTTCCCAGACCTGCCGCATTTCCCAGACCCTGGGATCGGATACAGGAGGGAAAGAGCTCGGGTATGTAGGTGAAAACCATATTGCTTATAGCTGTGCAGAGCATGAGACCAAGATTAGAGTACACGGCGAGAACTATGTCGTCGGTTGGTACCTTAACTGCGGCGCAGATCCCTCCCAAGGCGAGACAAAAGGCCGCGCAAATGTAAGTCATCATGAGGGGCAGTTTACGACGGCGGATCTTCGCATAAAGCACGGCCGATAGAACAGCGCCAGGAATTCCAGTAAAATTATTTGCGAGTGCTACTAAGTAAACATAGCCTCTGACAATGCGTGCGTAGAGCAACATGCCAAAGAGACAGGCAGCTTGAGTGCCGAAGAGGAATGTGGCAATCAGACTGACTTTTGCAAGATGAAACGTACGATAGGGCTGCCTAAGTTGATCGAAGAATCGGTAGAAGTAGGTCTGTGGAGTCTCTTTGCTCACTTCATTCTCCTCTTCCTCCGCAATAATGAGAGAAAGGTATTTACGAAAATCTTCAAGTGTGGTTTCTCTGTTTTTCTTCCCTTGACAAAAATAGCGACCTCCCGTGTTTATGAGGTAACCCTTATATAGTACATCCGCTGCCTCGTTCCAACGTTTTTTAGAAAGCAGCCATCGTGGTGACTCCGGTAAAATCCAGAACTGAGGGATTCCTAGGGCGAGGGGTGATATGATAGCTAAATGGAGCCAACGCCAATAGGGGATGAAGTAGGCTGCTAGCGTTGCTAGTGCTCTACTAATGGAACTCTGCACAATACACATGCTGGAGGAGACAACAAAACGATATTTCACTATAGTCAGTTCGACAGACAGAACAAGAAGAGCATTGGCTCTGGGCCACTGAACGCCAAAACCAAGAACAAAACG